TCACCTTTTGAGTTGCCTTACTGACATAAATGAACATTTGCACGATATTCTAATTTTTCGAGTTTCACCTGTATATGCAAGTTCTTAAAAAATTGGCTACTGCCCCTAAAAGAGTAAAGAAGTGGCTTTTCTTCCTGTATAAGTTTGTTTTGTGATTAGCAGGGACTGCTCAGTCAGTAAAAAGTCCTAACCTCTGTTATTTTTCTTACTATCCGTATTGACTCAGTAAGACTCATGCTAGTTAGGCTGGTTGCAGTTGCCACTACCCCAAGGCAATTGCGCTAAGGCAAAGTACAATTTCTTCCTAGGATTGCAAAGGCTTTACCAAGATACAGTGGCTCTATTAATACGTTCTAAGAGAAGGAACAACTGCTGCATCTCTTGGTGTGTTCTGTGTTCTACCAATCTTCCTGGTAACAAGAGGTGAAATAATTAAAGAAGTACTACTCAAGAAGCACAGCATTTGAATCTTGCATTGGTCCCTCAGGGTTTTTAATGTTACAGGTAGTTTCTAGATTAGGCATTGACATCCATTTATTTTCAGATGTATAACCTGCAAATCCATAATCCAGGTGTTTTGGTGACACAAAATAACTACGATGATGATGATGATGATGATGATGATGATGATGATGATGATGATTTTAGAACACTGTTGGACACTCTTGAGATATTTGCATGTATGGATTCAAAATTCCCAGCCAAAATGACTATTGCTTAGAATTCGGGAAGTTGAAATACCACATATCTGGAAAACACCAAGGTTGGAAAGGTTTATTCCAAAGCATGCCTCATTTTGTTATTGTTTATTTTATTTAATACAATATTATATTTATTATGATGTGACAAGTTGAGTGTTTCCAAATTAGTGGTGTCAGCAGTTTTGAAGCAATCAAGAAGAATCAGTAGGGTTTCAGTCCTCTGACTCTGCCAGAACAGATCATCTTCCAGGATAGTTGTGGCAATTTCAGTGCTGAATTTATCAGTGCTGGAGATTTTGCTGGCTTTAGTGCAACATATTAGAAGATAACAAAGCAGGGGCATTTATTTATTTATTTATTTGTTAGATTTATGTCCTGCTTGACCTTCAGGAGCTTGAGGTAATGTCCATAGCACTCCCTCCTCCCATCTTTCCCCAAACAAAACCCTGTGGATTGGTTGGGCTGAGTGAAAGTTATTGGCCAGAAGTCATCAAGAGATCTTCTGTGGCTGAGGGTGGACTAGAACATGGGTGTGTGGCCTGTCTGATGAATCAGATTCTGAACTGGAGAAACGGCTTCACAGGTTCTGACCTTAAACTTTCAGGAACCAGTGGATTCTCTGGTCTCTGTAGAGGAGGCTCCAAAAGAGTAGGGCCCACTCGAGAATGAGTCTGAAGGTCTGGACAATTAGGTAATCAGCCATTTGTTGCAGAAACACATAGCAGCGGGCTGAGTCACCTGACCTACAGCCTAAACAGGGAAAGATCCTCAGCCCTCACAGACAAGGAAAGATCAGGTGAGTAGAACAGAGACATTTAGTGAGGCTCCTCAAAAGAAAGAGGCATGACTCAGGAAAATAGGCATCCCTGTCTTGTTATAAAAGAAGGCTTGGGAATCATACTTCAGTTGACAAACAACTTTCCATCCTCAAATCTGACTTCCTGAACTTGTGTTGTTTATGATTCCCTAACTGATCTTTGACTGGTACAAGTCTGTACTCAGCTCTGATTCTTGGATCTTTGTTTTGTCTGTACATACTTAGCCTTAAAAAGTAACCTTGTTTTCTTGCCTGTATTCTCACATTCCTGTGCTGCAGTGAGATTTATAGCTGCTACAAAGAATTCTGATCTAAGGTTGACCTCTTGTACTTATAATTGCTGGCACAGGACAGTAGGTTTCCCTCAGGCATTACACCATAGGGGCTCTCATTTCTTGATGGATGCCAGATTGGGGAAGGCCGCAGTATGGCTCTTTTGGCATGGTGGTAGGATGACCTGGCATTTCATGTCTTTCTCTGTGGATAGTTGGCAAATCCAAGTGTTGCTTTCCTTCTTTTGCCTTTTGCAATGTACTTTTATTGTCAGGTCTTTCTAAGTTATGTTTTATTTAT